AATTTTATAAAATAAAAAATTTATTTTTTATAAAATATTTATTAAAATATATATGTATTTAAGATTGTATTTATTTATTTGAGAGAGAGAGCAAGGGGAGGAACAGAGGGAGAGGGACAAGCAGACTTTGCACTGAGTGTGGAGCCCAACTTGGGGCTTGATCCCACAACCCAGAGATCACGACCTGAGCTGAAATCAAGAGTCAGACACCCAACTGACTGAGCCACCCAGGTGCCCCAAGAATTATAATATTTAGATGTTGGGTACAGAAGGGTCAACCAGCAAATAGATCGAGGAAGTATGATTTCCTCAACAACACAGTGTATTGTGTCTTCGTTGCCATTCTCTTCTACTCACTTTGACATACTTAAGGGCAGAGATCTCAACACAAAGCACAGTATCTGGCATGTTATTGTTGATGAATAAAGGAATTTATTTTAAAGATTTTATTTATTTATTTGAGAAAGAGAGAGAGCCCAAGAGGGGGGACGGTAAGAGGGAGAAACAGACTCCTCACTGAGCAGGGAGCCTGATGCGGGACTCGATCCTGGCACTCCAGGATCATGACCTGAGCCAAAGGCAGTCGCTTAACCAACTGAGCCACCTTTAAAGGAATTTTTAAAGGAGAAATCTAACTCTTATGCTTTGTAAAGATGTGTAGGTAGTAACTCTCTCATTTGGGTGCTTAATAACAAATAGTGTCTCAAAATTACCTGAAGCAGGGGCGGTGCCTGGGTGGCTCAGTCGTTAAGTGTCTGCCTTCGGCTCAGGTCGTGATCCCAGGGTTCTAGGATCGAGCCCTGCATCGGGCTCCCTGCTCAGTGGGAAGCCTGCTTCTCCTCCCCCTGCTTATGTTCCTTCTCTTGCTGTTTCTCTCTGTCAAATAAATAAATAAAATCTTTAAAAAAAAATTTACCTGAAGCATGGTGCTGTACTAATACTGAGATTAGAATTGCCATGTGTTTATTTAGGATAAATGCATTTGCAATGAAAGGTTTTTATACCAGAAACACATTTTTCTGGAAGACTGTGGATTTTGTGATTGTCAGTCTCTTGCTACCTCTACCTATTAGGAAATAGGAACGTAGATTTCCCTGTTTCGAAGGTGGGGTGAAATCTGTTGATAGAGAGAGCTCCAGGACTGAGGTAGGATGTAAGGTGTCCTGGGCATAACTGGGCCCCTTCTGTGACCAGTGCCTGGGAACACTGGCTGAAAAAAAAAATCATTCTGTAGCTTTCCAGAGTCCCAGGAATGAGTCACTTCTTCCTTGGCCACTATCTCCCTCTTGATTCAGACCAGCCTTTCTCTCCTTCACTGCACGGAGTCTCTCACATAGTTCCTTTGAAATTATCCAATTTTTTGTTCATTTCTTTATTTTTGACTGTCAACACACAAAGCAAAAACAGAGAATGAAAAGGCTCACTTTTATATTCTTCCCAGCTCCTTTTATTTTTAGCCAGTAGGAGAAAACACGCCGCAGGAAATTGCTGCTATCTTAAAGGGTAGCTTTTATATATAAAGAGCTCAAGGAGGTCAAGCATATTTTTGTTGGGATAATTGCTGTGCAAGTCAGCTAGTGCCAACTAGCGTACCAAAGTATAAGGCAAATTTCTTGAAAGTATGGATTGTGGAGGGCTAGGCTCTTTGGGGAAATAATGACAGATGAAAGGAAGTCTGGTTGAGGCCTTGATGATTCACAAAGAAAAGAGGAAGAAGGATATTCCAGCCACATTTCCTACTTCTTGTTGCGAAAAAGCCTTTGGAATTTTAGTTTAGTCATGCTCAGTAAGAGTTAACATGGAAATGAGTCTACTCAAAAAAGCTAATTCAGGGGCTCCTGGCTAAGTCAGTAGAGCAGGGGACTCTTGATCTTGGGGTCAAGAGTTGAAGCTCCATGTTGGGCTTAGAGCATACTTAATAAAAAAAAGGGAGTTCAGTCTTAGGCTGCTTTGATAAATATAAAATGTCTAGAATGCATGATAGAAAATTTTCACTCTGCACCGGTCAAACAACATCTGGAATTCTGGAGTCACACTTTAAGAGGGATGTTGATAAACCATAATAGCCATGGAGGAGAGAGGAATTTTGATAAACCATCTCATTAGAAGGAGGCTGATTTGCTTAATGGGTAAGAGTGTAGACTGGTATCTATACTGGCCTGAGTTCATATCCTGTCTCTGCAGCTTATGAGCCATGCATGAATTTGGCAAGTTAAGTAACTTGATTTATCTTCATCTTCCTATCTGTAGGATGGAGATAAGAATCGTGCTTTTCTCTTAGGATTTTTGTGAGAGTTAAATGAGATCCATGCATGTAAAGATCTTAAGCCAATGCCTAAAACATAATAAGCTCACCGCAACTGGTAACTTTTATTGACAGGAATAGTTGAAAGAACTGGATAAGTATCATTAAGTTTCAGAAGGGCAACAGAAAAAGAATATGAATTTTTGTGTATAGCTCTGGAGAACCAAAGTTACAAGGATATAACTCAATAAAAAAATTTTGTTTCTAAGAATATAAGCTAGCTGACCATAAATTGGGCTACCTCAGAAAGTGATGAATGCCATCCCCCTCACTCATCTCAGGGTACAACTCGATATTTTTGAGAGTATTTGTGCATCAAATAAGGTCTGAATTAGATATATGAGATTTTTCCCAAATCCACAGTTCTGATCATACCATAGCTATTTATTGACCTTGATGGATACTATCTAAGTATTGTGGCTAGAGCAGTGAGCAAAACAGACATGGCCCTTGTCTTTATGGAACTTACCAGTCTATGCGTTTATGGTTTTGGTGCCCATCTTTTCCTTGAAATTCCTTTTGGTTCTCCTCCTGCCTCTCTGATCACATCTCCTTTGCCTCCTTCAATTGTGGTTTTTTCTTATTCCTGTCATGTTTGGCGTCTTCCAATCTTCTTTCTCAGGTCTCTTTTCTTTTCCTTGTATACCCTATGCTTTGGCCATCTCCCCCAGTGTATTTACCTTTACAAACTGGTAGATTTGTCTTCCTAAAAATGTTTCCATGCTCAAAAACTCTCAGCAATTCCCCATTGTCTATTGAATAAAAAACCCCTGCTATTTGAGGCCCTTAGTTGGATATTCCAGTCCATTTCTCCAAACTAATCTCCATTTGGTCCCAGCTCCCTACTACTCCCTGTTTTTTCCTTTGATCATTCCCTTGACTTTCTGTTCCTCGGGAGAGTCATGTTTGTTCAGATCCATCTACCCAGGAAAACTACATCTCCACCTGAAATCCCCTCCCTTATTAAAGCTCATTGCAAAGGCTAGTTTGTTCATGTAGCCTTAATAGACACCTCCAGGTGGAAGTGAACTTGTCCCCTCCTCTGAACCATCAGGGCCCCATGCCTTTCATATGGTACCTGTTTTTATCTCCTCACCCTTTCAGTTTATCAATTCCTTGAGATTTGTTGCTGTTATATTTTAATAAAACCTAGTAGAGTGTCTTGCATAATATGAGCATTCAATATTTGGTCACAGATGGATTAGAAAATGATATAACTTTATTTTATGGATGATCAATTCCTATGTTCAAACTATTTTTTAAAAAGATTTTACTTATTTGAGAGAGAGAGAGAGAGAGAGAGAGCTCAAGCAGGGGGAGGGGTAGAGGGAGAGGCAGAGTCCCCACTGAGCAGGGAGCCCGACGAGCTGGAGGACACGTGGCTCAATCTCAGGACCCTGGGATCATGACCTGAGCCAAAGGCAGATGCTTAACCGACTGAGCCACCCAGGCACCCCTCTTTTCAAACTATTTATGTGCCCAGGTACTGTTCTCGGCATTAGGGACAAGGCAATGAATAAAATAGTCTACAACGTATAATATGTCAAATGGTGGGTAAATTCTATGAAGCAAGGTAAGTGAGGGTAAAGAGGTTGGATAGTGAAGGAAGTGATATTTAATATAAAGGGTAAGGTAAGGCTTCTCTGACAGGGTGGCTTTGGAACAGGGACAATACATATGAGGGCCCTACTAAGCATCAGGATTAACTTAAAATTTGTAAGTTTGGATGGGAAAAAATTTGATTTTTATTTTTAGTCTCATTTTTTTTTATAGTACACACAAATAATTTGAAAATTAAGGTCTCATTGATAATACTACTGGTATTTGTTTCTTTTGTTTCTTTCTTTTTTTTTTTTTGGAGTTTCCAAAGGGATTTGTTTCTTAGAGAAAATTCAGTAAGATAAAGAACTCTTGTATTTTTTTGTATTTTATTTTATTTTTTTACTTAAATTCAATTAGCCAAGGTATAGTACATCATTAGTTTTGTTGTTGTTTTTTTTAAGATTTTATTTATTTATTTGACAGAAAGAGAGACGAGAGAGGGAACACAAGCAGGGGGAGTGGGAGAGGGAGAAGCAGGCTTCCCGCGGAGCAGGGAGCCCGATGCAGGGCTCTATCCCAGGACCCTGGGATCATGACCTGAGCCGAAGGCAGACGCTTAACGACTGAGCCACCCAGGCGCCCCCATCATTAATTTTTGATATAATGTTCAATAATTCATTAGTTGATAAAGAACTCTTGAATATCTCTTCTGTAAGTATAGTTGAAAAGATGTTCAAATTGTAATATTTAATTGTGCTGATTATTATTTAAGTAAACTTTACCCCCAGTGTGGGGCTTGAACTCATGAGATTGAGTTTAAGAGTTGCACGCTTCACTGACTTAGCCAGCTGGGCACCCCCAAATTGTAATTTTTTTTCAAATATTTATTTATTTGAGAGAGAGAAAGAGCACGCAAGCATGAGGGGGAGAGGGAGAAGCAGGCTCCCCGTGAGCAGGGAGCCCCATGTGGGGCTCGATCCCAGGACTCTGGGATCATGACCTGAGCAGAAGGCAGACGCTCAACCGACTGAGCCATCCAGGCGCCCCCTGTAATGTTTTAATAATATATCTTAATGATGTCTTCAAGAGAGTCGGACATTTTTTATAACTATAAGTAGTTTAACTATAAACTATTTTTTAAACTATAATCCAGAGTTGATGGAGCCAAAAGAAGTTTAGACAGAACGCTGGATAAAAGGACACCTCCAATCCCAGAGCCAGATTATCCTCCAACTGTAAGTTTAGGCTGTCTTTTTAAAAAGTTTATCCTTATACAATTTTAATTTGTAATTATTTTAAGTTGATCTCAATATAACTAGTATTTTTAAGAGAATAATACATATACATAATACATACATTTAAGTCACTTATAACTTTTATCTCCTTGATTTAATTATGTCTTATTTGTTTGCTTTTGACAGATGACCAGTGAAATTAAAAAGAAAGGAGTGAGTTCAATTTTTTTTAATATTTCCTGTTTTTAAAATGTCCAAAGAAATTATGACAAAGTAGCTCCTTCTAAGACCACCTGCTAATAAGACCCATCCTAGAAGAGGAAGAAATTTAGAAACTGAGATTTTCATTTTCTGTGCCAAAGGAACAAGCATGTCATGGATGACAATATGGGGTTTAAGAGTTATATTTTTGTTGCCATTTGTTATTTGAGGATTAGTGGTAAATGTTTTAGTTCTTATTCCAGAAACTGGAAAAAAATTTAAAGTTGCCATTATAAAGGAAATGCATTTTGTTTTTCACTGTTCTTTTTTTTTTTAATTTTTTTTTTTTAGATTTTATTTATTTGAGAGAGACAGAGATAGTGAGATAGAGAGCACAAGTGGGGAGGAGAGGGAGAAGCAGGCTCCCCACAGAGCAGGGAGCCCGATGCGGGACTCGATCCCAGGACCCTGGGATCATGACCTGAGCTGAAGGCAGATGCTTAACCAACTGAGCCACCCAGGCGCCCTGTTTTTCACTGTTCTAATATTGATATAATAATGATTACTTATTGAGAATCTATAGGGTGCTAGCCACACACTAGATGCTAGATTAAAAAAAAATGGCACTGACTGCATGGTCGACAACTTGGGGCTATGGTGTGATTGTTGGGAAGATGATGACACATAACACTTATTTCACAGCAAAGGATATGGAAACCTATGGAGCTGGCTACACGGAAGAGAAATTCATACAGCATGTTCCCAGATGGGGGTACAGGCTTTCCAAGTCTCTTCAAGTTCCCTTTGGGGATAGAGGGCTCAGGATACATCCCTGTACTGAGTATCTGTGGAAAAGCCAATTTCAGCTTCTCCAAGTGTTCTCTTTCTTTTTTCCTTCCTTCCTTCCTTCCTTCCCTTTTCTTTTCTTTTCTTTCTATCTTTCTTTCTTTCATCTTCTTCCTTCACCTCCCTCCCAACCTTTATGGAGACTTTGGCTGTGTATTTGCCTCTTTACTAGATAATAAGAACTGATATAAAAACATTCATAAATATTTAACACGAGGCTGGGTGAATTGCAAGGCATATTTGTGTGTATGTGCTTAGCATCCTCACTCTTCATCCACCGTTCTTACCTTCTAGTGTCTTACAATCTAAAATAGGTAGCCAGGCATGAAACAGTCATTCACTTTTGAACCCACTGCTTTTGGTAATCTGGCATGAAGGAACCCCACCTCTTCATCATTAGTGTCACCAGTGACCACTAATTGCCAAATCCAAGGCATGTTTTTTTAATACTCTTCTCACTAGACCTCCAGCTGACTTTTATTTTTTATTTATTTTTAAAAGATTTTATTTATTTATTTGATGGAGAGAGAGAGCACGAGCAGAAGCACAAGCAGGGGTAGTGGCAGGCAGAGGGAGAGGGAGAAGCAAGCTCTCCGCTGAGCAGGGAGCCCGATGTGGGACTCGATCCCAGGACCCTGGGATCATGTCCTGAGCCGAAGGCAGACACTTAACTGACTGAGCCACCCAGGCACCCCTCCAGCTGACTTTTTAAAAATGTTTTTACTAAAAAATAAAAAATAAATGTTTTTGCTTTTAAATAGTTGGACACATGGATCAGTGGAATAAATGAATGACCCAGAAGTAGACCTACACGAGTACAGCCAACTGATTTTTGACAAAGTGCAAAAATTAATTCAATAGGGCACCTGGGTGGCTCAGATGGTTAAGCGTCTGCCTTCGGCTCAGGTCATGATCTCAGGGTCCTGGGATCGAGTCCCGCATCGGGCTCCCTGCT